TATTGTATGTATATGAGTGTTTTGTCTACATGCGTCCAGGTACATCATATGCATGCCTGGTGCTCATGGAGGACAGAAGAGTGTGTCAGACCCTCTGAACTGGGATACAGAGAGTGTGAGCTGGGAATCAAACATGTGGGTGCTAGGAACCAAACTTGGGTCCTCTGCAAGAGCACCCAGTGCTCTTAACCACTGAGCCACCTGTCCAGCCCCCATAGTGAAGTCCTACCAACCTTGGCAATTTTTTAGGTATATCTGCCTCTGATTTATATATTTCTAAAACAAAGGCAGGAGGGAATGATTGAGTTACATTTATCATGTGTTTAGATGAACAAGTTAAAGCTACAGGGTATGTTAAGACAGTAGAGGCCATAATCAAAGAACAGGAAATCCGCATCCACTGACTGGTCATTTGAGAGCTGACCACAATTTCTAACCTTTTCTAGTTGACTTAGTCACGCCTCTCTCACGGCTACTTCGCAATGATACTGCTTTTTATTCATTTTCTCTATTTGTGTTCAGTGCCAAGTAAAGAATTGTAGCTAGGCAAAGTTTATCTTAAGCATTTCCCATTTTTATTTTCAAAGCTCTTCTTTTCTATCTCTTACTGTAGGAGACCAGTGCCCTTGAAGTCTTTCCATATTTGCCAGTGCTTCAGTTTTCTTCAGTAACCAAAGTAGCTTCGATGGCAACATTGTTCTAAGTTCTGCACTAGGTCTGATAACAGCCTCAATTCCATTGCGGTTTTTCTGGTAAGGATGCTATGGTTCAAAGAAGTTACTCACACAGCTCATGAGAAATGGAGCAAATATCCTGGGCTATGGAATTGTTTTTTTGCTTCTTCTTGGTTTTTTGCTTCTTCTTCTTCTTCTTCTTCTTCTTCTTCTTCTTCTTCTTCTTCTTCTTCTTCTTCTTCTTCTTCTTCTTCTCCTCCTCCTCCTCCTCCTCCTCCTCCTCCTCCTCCTCCTCCTCCTCCTCCTCCTCCTCCTTCTTCTTCTCCTTCTCCTTCTTCTTCTTCTTCTTGTTTGCTTTTTGAGACAAGAATTCTCTGTGAAACAGCCCTGGCTGTCCTGGAATTCGCTCTGTAGACCAGGCCTGCCTCTGCCTCCTGAGTGCCTGGATTAAAGGCATTCGCCACCATATTCAGCTTGGAATTGGGTTCTAAATTCCAGCCTGAGCTCTGAATCCAAATGATTCAGGAGAGCCATTGTGATATGAGAAAGAGAGCTTTGAGTCTGAGCCAAATAACGCCTGTGTAATCTGGGGCAAATAATGCAATTTCTTGAGTTTTGATGTGATCACATTTTATCGATGCATGACTGCCCTCTCTAATTACACACATTATTCAAACCCATCAATCTGACTCCAACATGTGAAATTTATTAGTCTTGCATGACCACAGCTCTCCTTCCATTTAGAAAAAATTTCAAAGAGATAAAAAAGAGAATTTGCCTCATTACAGTTAGCTTCAGAAGCCACAGTACCTTCAGTGAAAATGAAAAATTATAATAAAATAATAGGTGAGAAGACTCTGTGGTCAAGGAAAGTCTTATTGGTACTGCTGAACTACAGCATTATGCACACAATCATTTTTCAAACTTTATAAGCAGCAACACTTGAGAAAATCGGTACACTAAGTATCCTGAATCAACTTCTCTTGTTATTTATTTTTACTATATGTGTATGAATATTTCGCCTGTATTCACGTAAGAACACCCTGTGGATCAGTCACACCCCTCAATCTGGAGCTTTGGATGGGTGTGAGCCACCAGGTAGGTGCTGAAAACTGAACTCACTGTCGACAAATGCTCCATCCCCTGAGTGCACTTCTTCATCACCATTCCTGCTGTAGGTGGAAATGCTGATATATTGGCTCCTCTCCTGCTTTTCTCTTTGCCCAGCAGCAAATTCAAGGAATTACATTTTAGTTTTTCAGTTACTTCTTTATTTGAGGGGGAAAAATCCCTTATTCTCTGCTGGCCTTTTGCAAAGGCTTACTATATTTATAACAATGTATCTAGGTGTTAATTGCACAAATCTGCATGGTTGTTTTTCCACTTAACATAACAATTAATAAGTTATTTTTTTTCCTTTTTCTTTTTTTTTTTTTTTGAGATAGGTTCTCTCTAAATAGCCCGGGCTGTTCTGGAACTTACTATGTAGATCAGGCTGGCCTCAAACTCACAGAGATTTGACTATTTATACCAGCCAATATGTTACTTTAAAAAAACAAATAAATAAAACTAAATCATAAAAGAATAATATGAATACACAAAGAATACTGACAAGAAGTTACATTCCTTTCAAAATTTAATTCTCAAAACACAGGATAAGGGTGCTGGAGAGATGGCTCAGCACTTAAAAGCACTGGTTGCTCTTCCAGAGGACCTGAGTTCAACTTCCAGCATCCACATGGCAGCTCACAACTGTCTGCAACTCGAATCTCAGGGTACTTTATGCCCTCTTCTGGACTCTGAGGGTACCAGATTGGTTAGCCTTGAGACCTAGGGTAGAACCAAACATAACTGGCAAAAAAAAAAAAAAAAAAGAAATGATTTCTAATGATATTCTACTATACTCATAGAAGAGTGCCCGGTCCCGCTGTCATCAGAGGCTTCCTCAGAAGCAGATGGGAGCTGGTGCAGAGACCCACAGCAGACATTATGCAGAGAGAGAGTCTAAAATGGAGGTTTCTATTGGGTCCTTCCCCTCAGAGATCAGGAAACCGCCGAAGAGGAGGAGGAAAGATTGTAGGAGTCAGAAGGGATGGAGGATACCAGGAGAACATGGCCCACTGAGTCAACTAAGCAGGCCTCATATGGGCTCACAGAGACTGAAGTGGCAAGCACAGAGCCTACACAGGTCTGCACCAGGTCCTCTGTGTATATGTTATGACTAATAGCTTGGTGTTTTTGTGGGACTCTTTGGTGGTTTGAAAGAAAATGGTCCTCAAAGTGAGAGGCACTATTATGGGATGTGGCTTTGTTGGAGTAGGTGTGGCCTTGTTGGAGGAAATGTGTCACAGTGGAGGTGGGCTTTGAGGTCTCATATATGCTCACGCCACACACAATGAGACAGACCACTTCCTGTTGCCTATGAGTCGAGATTAAGGACTCTTCAGCTCCTTCTTTAGCGCCACGTCTGCCTGCACGCTGCCTTGCTTCCTGACATGACAATAATGGACTAAACCTCTGAACTGTACATGATCCACCCCAATTACATGTTTTTCTTTATAAGAGCTGCCATGGTCATGGCGTCTTTTCACAACAACAGAAACCCTAACAATGACAGACAGTGTGTCTCTGACTCTTTTGCCTACTCTTGAGACTCTTTTCCACCTATTGGGTTGCCTTGTCCAGACAATATGAGGGCTTTTGGCTTGCCTTATTGTGTCTTGTTTTACCCTGTTTGGCTGTCATCTCTTGGAGGCCTGCTCTTTTCTGAAGAGGAAACAAAATGGGAGTGGATCTGGGGGAGAGGGCGGGTGGGGGGTTTTAAGTCTAAAACCTTGGGACAAATGGCTGATATGTGCCTGTTTAACATACTGAAGCAGATCTGGCTGCCAGGTTCTCCCAGTATCCCTTAGTCCCTACAGGGTATGACTGGCATCCTTTGCCCCTTATCCCAAACTCTCCAGCCCAGGGTCTGGGCTGCCCTTCCTCAAGAGGTTTTTCCCTGTAGAGTCCAGCCATGTTGGTTGCCTGCCCCTTTTGTACCTTTGCCCTCTTGATTGCTACACCTGGTTTCCTCTCCTCCCCCTTCTCCTCTCCCTCTCCCCAAATGGCCCAGCTCAGTCAGGGTCATGTCCACTCTGAACTCTCCCAGACATCCCTGTCTCTGTCTATGCTCTCCCTGTTTACCCCCCAAGACAGGGTTTCTCTGTGTAGCTTTGCCCCTTTCCTGGAACTCGCTTTGTAGTCCAGGCTGGCCTCGAACTCACAGAGATCTGCCTGCCTCTGCCTCCCAAGTGCTGGGATTAAAGGCGTGCGCCACCACCTCCCAGCCTATGCTCTCCCTTTTATCTACAATAAACTTTCTTCTCCATCATACCTAGGAGCAGTCATATCCTTTCCTTTTTATTTCTTTTTATCATTCAGGGAGGAGATGAAAGGAGTGGAGAGAGGAGAAAGTATGGTCGGGATGTATTATGTGAGAAAAGAATCTATAAGAAAGAAAGAAAGAAAGAAAGAAAGAAAGAAAGAAAGAAAGAAAGAAAGAAAGAAAGAAGCCCACTGACGTCAAGTGGGGTAGAAAGAGATCACAATGGCAGATTGTCCTGAGTAACACAAAGACTAAAAGAGATATCAATTATACTGTGTTGCTATGCAGCAGATTTCATTATGCAAGGATGGGAAGGGAAAGCCACGTTCGTTTTCTTGGCGTGTGTGGGTATTGTTCTGTACCCCATGGCAGAACTAGACACACTGCCAGAGAACAAGTACACAAAGTTGTTAGGGAAACTGAGTGCTTCCACACAGATAGTCACAGAGAACTTTCAGGACTATCTTACTCAGCGAAATCAATTCCATTTGCCTCGCCATATGCCAGTGCACCCTAATGAAGGCTGTGTTCTTACGGGTTCTTGGATCAGCTGTCCTCGAGTAAATACAAATTTCAGACTCAGGGGATGACGATTACTTCGCAGAAGTGTGACTTGTGTGTAGGATCTTGGCATTACATGTCAGAAGCTTGCTCTCGTTTGCCTCAGCCATTGTCTGGTGTCCTGGTTTCTGTAATCTGAGAACAAAGTGGCTGTTGTGACTGTCTTCTGAGAGAAACATTTCCTCCAACAGAGCCACAGTCCATGCTGTCCCATGCTGGGATACTGTGGCTGTGTCCCTCTACGTGCTTCCAATCACCATGGAGAGGAGACAGTGACAGCCGCCGCTGGCCATCGATTTTTGTCTTTAATTGGGAATTGAAAATTTTTCCAGCTATCTCTGAAAACAGGATTTTTTGTTTGGTTTTGTTTGTCTTGTTTCTGAGAAGGGAATTGCATGATGAGGATTTTTGTGGCTTTTAAAGGATCTTTTGAGGCATTTGATGTTTCAGCACATGACTCTGGAAGCCATCAAACAGATGGTAAAGGCATATATTTAGTCAAGGGTCACTACGGTGTATTTGAGTTTAATTATGCCTTACAGTCTAAAATATGCATAGGATAGAGACACTATTAGGTACAATTTTAACACAAGAAACAAAGAGGCTTTGAAAAATATCACTATTTGAGTGCTATATTGATAAGAATATGGTATATTTGGAGATCTTATATAAGAAAACAAACCGAGCCAATAAATTCTGGAAGGAGCAATTGTCAAGTTTCAATTCTCTCTAGTGAGTTCATGGGTTGTGCCTGTACCAAATAGCTTACTGCAATTATTCACAAAAGGAGAAAACACAACACTAACTTCAGTACATGCAAAGAGAGTGCCAGTTGTCTGACTAATGTCTTGCTTGGTGAGCAAGCAGATATGACGAATCCAAGGACTTAGGAGACAGAGAAGACAGTAGTGAACGTGTGGCTTCAATTTTAAACTTGTGGGCTTCAATTTTATTTTGTATTCAGAGAAAATTGAGGCTTAGGGAGGGCATCTTACCTAAGACCACACTGCCAGAATAAGAGACAGTCATGAAATATTTAATTTAGAGGTGGTCATTTTCATTTATTATTATTATTATTATTATTATTATTATTATTATTATTAGTGATTTCTTTTTTTTTTTTTTTGAGATGAGGTCCCACTCTGTAGTTCTGGCTGTAGACTAGGCTGGCCTCACACTCAGAGTACCTGCCCCTGCCTCCCAAGAGCTGGGATTAAAGATGTATGCCACCACATCCAGCCATATTGAGCAGTTCCTGAGGATTGTTAGTATTGGGTAGATTATTGCAATCTAGATCTAGCACAGGAGATAATACACATTATGTGTCATGGATCTGTTTGAAGTCTGATAAAGCAGATGAACTCCCTCTCAGAATGTTGTTAAATGCATAAAATACCTAAAATACAAAGAGAACCACAGAGGTCATGGTGATGCATGCTTATAATCCTAGTACTCTGGCTGCTAGGGCAGGAGAGATAAGAGACTGGGGCCAGCCTAGGCTGCAGAGTAAGAGACTCTCTCCACGAAAACAAGAAAGAAGTGAATTGAATTTAAATATAACCTTCAAATAATAAAAATCACATTGATGACACAGTGACATGGGATTTTATTAACATTAACTAACAGGTCCTAGAAGTGCACTTAACTAGTATACTTTCAAATAAGTGATAAGCATACATAAGATTCTGAAATATCTGTAGCAGCGGTAATGTGATATGGAAATGAATGTGATTTTTAAATGGTGACAAAGCCATAGGTACAGATGATTTAATATAATTAAAAAGGAGAAAAATCTCAATTTCACTTAGAGTTAGCAAAAATAAAGCTGTAGAAACTGGAGAGATGATTCAGTGGTTAAGAGCAATGGCTATTCTTTCAGAGGACCTAGGTTCAGTTCCCAGTACTCACATGGCAGCTCACTACCATCTGTTATTCCATTGCCAAGGGCTCCATTGCCCTCTTCTAGCATTCCCGGGCTCCAGGCACACATGTGGGACACAGATATACATAAGCAAAGCACTCACACACATAAAATAAAAATAATAAAAAGTTTAAAATGAAGGTGTAGTTTTTTTCCCCCAACTAAAATCTATTTATAAACTTTTGGGGAGCAATAGGGTCCAAGTTAAGAACCCTACCCGATCTTCCTTCTCTTTGTTCTAAGACAATTACAACGCCATTGGGAAGGGAGGGGAGGAGGGAGGAAGAAAGCAGAGGGAAGAGAGGGAGGAAGGGAGAGGAGGGAAAGAGGGAAGGAAGGGGTGAGGGGAGCACGGTATTTCTGCTCTGCTAATACAGAGACTGTTTTCATAAGAGGTCACTGCTCTTTAAGGATGATTTCCACAGTCCTCTTTCTGAAGACCAACAAGGCAGGTGGTAGCTAGAGTTGAAGTATGCTGGAGCTGCCCTCAGGAACAGTTGAAGTCTGTCGGATGTCGGAATTATCTTCCTGCTCAACTCTCAAATGCTTCGGTAAGGTATGACAGAATAACATTTGCCTGAGATGCCTCTCTCATTTTGAGGTAAGTGGTGGATAGCTCAACTAAGTAGTCGCACAACTTAGAAAAAGCTTTGCACAGGCTGATGTGGTTGATACATACCTATAATCACAGAGCTTCTGAGGCCCAGGTAAGAGGATCATCAGTTTGAGGGCAGCTTAGGCTGTATAACAAGATCCTACCAAAAAGAATAAAATAGAGCTTCCTTTCCTTTCCTTTTTTTTAAAGATTTTTTTAGAATTTAGGTTCATTTATTTTATTCTATTGTATGAGTGCATGGCTGGTGAGTGAGGAGGCCAGGAAAAGGATGTTGGATACCCTGGTACTACAGTTACAGGTGACTGTGAGCCACTGGATATGGGTTCTGGGACTCAAACTCAGGCTAGCTGTAAGAGCAGTACCTTCTATAAACCCCTGAGTTATCTTTCTAGTCCCACAAAGATTTATTTTTAATCGTGTGTATGTGTGTACATGCACATGAGTACAGGTACCAGAAGAGGCTGGAGCCACTAGATTGCCCCAGAGCCAGAGTTAGAGACAGTTGTGAGCTGCCAGGCACGAGTTCTGAGAACCAAACCTAAGTCCTCTGCAGGAGTAGTACACACTCTTCACCACTGAACCAACTCCCCAGCCCTTCTTGTCTTGCGTTCTCTTCCATTGGTACTCGTGGTCTCATGCATGTTTCATGCCTGTGAAGGGTAGTAAGATACGGACACAGCATTCCCCTTGTTCCATCTCTCTTTCTTGCCTCATCCTTTGCCATCTGCCCCATCACATCATACAGGACTCCCCATAGATCATAGTCTAAGGGATGGCTCTGAGATATCTGTACAGAGTGAAGCAGATGAGGTCACTTCCCTGGTCATATGGATGAGGGACAGTGGCATGACAAAGAGGAAATTTTCACTAACAGGATGAATGACTGGGCAGTGTCTGTGCTGGCTAGTTTTATGTCAGCTTGACACAAGCTAGAGTTATCCAGAGAGGGAACCTCAATTGAGAAAACATCCCTACCAGACTGTCCTGTGGACAAGCCTGTGAGGTATGTTCTTGATTGATGATTGATGTTGGAGGTACCACACCTGGGCTAGAGAAAGCCATGGGGAGCAAGCTAGTGAACAGAATTCTTCCATGGCCTCTGTATCAGCTCCAGTCTCCAGATTCCTGCCCTGCTTCAGTGCCTGCCCATACATCCTTCAGTGATGGACTATGATGTGGAAATATAAGCTGAAACAAACTCTTTCCTCCCCAACTCGATTTTGGCCATTGTGTTTTATCACAATAGAAACCCCAGGACAATGACTATATCCAAGTTCAGACAAAGCAGCCATCAGAACTAAGTATATGCCGGAGAAATGTCTTTACCATTTTTAGGGCGCCCTTAATTTACGGTGCATAACTAGGGACCCTGGGCTCAGCGTTCATTAAGAACTTTCCAGAACCCTAACCCTAAGATATACAAAACTATGTACTTTGGGATTTCCTGAGCTCATATCTCTAACTTGAAATCAGTTTTTAATGGATAAGTGACCCAGTTAAGAGCCGTTGTTTATACTGGGGTAGAAACAGTCCTTTACGCTCTCTTCTTACTTCTGAAAGCATGAGTTCTCATCCCCTTTAAATGTGATACTTATTTTCTTATATTTAGCAGCAAAAATGTTTATGATACTCAGAATTAACTCTAAATATACTTACACAGCTAAGATGTTTTTTTGTTTTTTTTTTTTTTTTTTTTGGTTTTTCGAGACAGGGTTTCCCTGTGTAGCTTTGCGCCTTTCCTGGAACTCACTTGGTAGCCCAGGCTGGCCTCGAACTCACAGAGATCCACCTGGCTCTGCCTCCCAAGTGCTGGGATTAAAGGCGTGCGCCACCACCGCCCGGCCTAAGATGTTTTAAAAGATGCTCTCCTATATTAAGTACTAAAGACATGTCACAAAATGGTAAGTACTGCATGACTCCATTTATATAATTTTAATGTTTTCTGAGCATTTATTATTCATGTATTCCTTATATTTCTGAAGAATGTTTAACTACCAAAAAGTAAAATTAAAATGACTATGAGTTCTCCAATTTTTTCTCTAATACTCAGAAAATCCTTTTAAAGCAAACTAAATTATATTTCTTTTCTTTGTCTGAGAGTGTCTTGTTACGTATCCCAGGCTGGCCTCCAACTTTGGATTCAAGATGTTAGGATTACAAGTGTGCACCACTACATCCTTCTTCCCTGCCATGTCTTAACAGCTTCTCCTTACGGCTTTACATGGGCTTCTATATTATGTTCAGGCACCACACAGCTACACGGAATCAACTCCTTACAATCTCCAAGCACTGTCTGATGAGAAGATTCATGTAGGCCATGTGCATGCTGCCTTGGTCTCTGTGAGGTCATATGAGCTTTGCTCAGTTGTTCGAGAGGGCCTTGTTCTGCTGGTGTCCTCCATCCTTTCTTTCTCCCCAACTCCTCTGCCTCCCCGTCTGCAGGGTTCCCTGAGCTCTGAGGGGAGGGATTCGATGGTGACATCTCATTTATAGCTGTGTGTTTCAAGGTCCCCCACACACACTGTGCATAATGTCTGGCTGTAGATCTCTGTATTTGTTCCCATCTGCTGCAGGAGGAAGCCTCTCTTCTCTGATAATGGCTGACTAAGGCACTGATCTATGAGTATTGCAGAATACCATTAGGAATCGTTTTATTGTTGCCTTTTTTTTTTTCTTTTTAGAACAGAAGTATTTGGTTAACCTTAGATTTCTGAGCTATCTAGATTCTGGTTCTTGGTCACCCAAGCAGTGTCAGGTTCTATCTCATGGAGTGGGCCTTAAGTCAAATCAGACATCAGGTTGGTTACTCCCACAAGGTCTGTGCCACCATGACCTAGTATATTTTGCAGGCTGGGCAGATTGTAGGTCAAGGGTTTTGTAGTTTTGTTTACTTTTCTCTTTTGGTAACCTGTAGAGTACCTTTCTGTGTCATAGACATGAGGCCATAACAAAGTTAGATAAATAATTTGGTTAACCCAGTTTCCAATCTTTTCCTGGACAGCTGCTAAAAAAAAAAAAAAAAAAGGAAGTTCATTTGATTTCTCAAGTGGAATTCACACCATTTAATAAAACCAGACATTACTTCTCCTTTTTTTCACTATGGAACAGGTGGGACAGATTTCTGCTTATTTGGTGTCTGCAAATTTTTGAGCCAGAATTTGGATTTACATCAACCTCAATTTGTGTTGTCTGTTTCTAATAAGAACATTTTACTTCTCATTGCTAATGTACATATATTATTTCCAGTGGGTTCGCATCTATTTTTTGAAGACAAAAAAGGAATTATGATTTTGAAATAGACATTTTTTGTACTGAAGAGTAAGATATTTTGAGTTTGTCCTCTACCATGGTATGTTGGTTTGGGTGTTTTTTTTGTTTGTTTTGTTTTGTTTTTGTTTTTGTTTGTTTCTAAAGGGAAAAATCTAATCTTAAATGTGTCCAGCCATGATTTGTTTATGGTGTTGTTTATCTAATAGCATCTGACATACTTGGGTGTAACTGAACGACCTGTCTTAATTCATAATGCTTGGAGAGGAGTATCATGTATGTAGGCAGGGAGATGCCTTCTCTTACAGACACCCTCTCTTTAAAAAATTTGCTTATGTGTATTTTTGTGTGTACACATGTGGGTACACACATACACAAATGCTATAGTGTTCGTGAAGAGGTCAGAATACAAGTTGAGGGATTTGGTTTTCTCCTCCCATCATGTGTGTCCCAGGTATTGAACTCAGGTCATCAGAGTGGGTGGTAAGTGTGTTTACCCACGTAGCCATCCTGTTGGCCCACAGATACCTTATCTTACAGAGGGATGCTTTGTTTTATGATGCTTTCTATTGTATCATTTCATTAGCAAGTTGCTATTAATTGGCACCTGTGGAGGTGGGGAAGTATCTCTGCAGCTGCAGGAAACAAGAGGGTAGTTCAGTTGAGCACCACTAAGTAGCAGGTGTTGGTTCAAACTTGGAGACTGTGACCCTGAGTAGTTTATTTTAGGCATATTTAAGCACAGTACAATTTAGTGAAAAAAATTTCTTTTTTTTTTTTTTTTTGGTGAAAAATAGCTCAATTCCATGAGCACAAAAAACTGAAGACATAACTACATGGTAAAATACATGGGATATCTTCCATAAAGACAGGTTCTCTAGATTGACTACATGTGACACCTTCCATAAAGATAGGTTCTATAGATTGATATGCCTGAGATGGTCTGGGGAGGATTCAGTGTGGTCTCCGCCACACAGATAACACAAAGGTCACCAGGCTATCAACCACATGTACTTGCAGCCTTCTGGGTGGAAAACAGGTTCGTTCCTCCCTCTGAAGGGACAACTCTGTGTGTTTAATATTCCTGGTTCTCCTAGTGCTGATCTGTGAGCACAAGGACCTCTGCATCTCCCATAGGTATCTATGTGCTCCTTTTCCCATACAATCAGAGACAGAACTGTCTTCCACTGTGCACCTCATTACAATTCAAACTACAATTCAAATGTCATTGCATCTGAAAACAAAGATTATAAAATGCTGTACATGTGGTTACAATAGCACAATGAAACTATTTTCCCCTACATTACAAATGACTTGAACTCAGGATATCATCTGTGTTTATTGATACAAAATTCTAGTGCTTTAAAAAAAAAAAAGAACAGACTTGAAGGTGTTTTTGGAGACCTAAGAACCTAGCTTCAGAGATAGCATTTTTTGTGTCACTTCTGATTTTCATCTAAAGCTGCAAGCTATTTTTTTAACTCCCCCTTGTGATTTGCTCTGGAGTTACCTATATGTGTGGGAGACTAGAGAAATTTTCCTTTATAAACATAGGGTAATTCATATTCTGGCATGCTTTTAACCACACTTATCTAACATTATAGATAGTAGTTTGCTGTTGAGATCAACTTAGTCAATGGTTAAGATTAACTGAAGCCTCAATGGTTTTGTTTGCCTATTGTCATTTGTAATTCATTTGTCATCTGTTTGCATTTATTGATAAATATAGAGAGGGATAAAGACAAATTGGGGAGTCTAAATAAATAAGAGACCACTGTTGTGTAAATTATAATTTTCCTTTCTTCTCTATTACCTTTGAAAAATTTATGTATATGTGTGTCTGTACACACACACCACATATGTGCAGGTGCCCACAGAGACCATGAGGGGGCATCAGAGCCCCTGAACTGGATTTACAAGTATTGTGAGTGGCCAGGTATGCTGATTTGCCTGCTGGGAACCGAACATGCTGGAAACAGAGGACTTGGGTCCTCTGGAAAAGCAGCAAGTACCCTGGCCCCCATTTTGGGTAACTGTTGCCTTTCTTGCTGACCTTGACCTTGATATCCTCACTATGCTAATTCCCTGCCAGTTTCCACCCTCCTGAATGCTTAAGGGAAGTTCCTTGTCTGTGTATCCTGCGTAATGGGTAATGGGCGTTAACAGCTTAGTGCAAGCTTGTAAAACATTGGTAGTGAACTTCGGCCCTCCGGGGTTCTCCCATTGTGCTGTAAGCCTGTATTTAAGACCTCTTCCCTCCTTCAATAAACAGCATTCAGCATTAAAAAATACATACATACATACATACATACATAAAAAAGAAAAAAATAAAAATCTAAAAAAAAAAAAAGCAGCAAGTGCTCTTAACCACTGAGCCATCTTTCCAGTCCTTCTCCACTGCCTTACAGTAATTTCTGCCTGCCTATAAATATTTTGGGAATAAGTTTGGCAGATGCTTACCTGAGGGAGCCCAAGGGAAACAGGTGTATCCTGGTTGAGTGAGATTATTACAATCTACACTCAGAACACTTAGCCTGCTGGCCACAGACAGCATCTCAGCTTCTTGGGCTGGCTTCATGGGTAACAGAAGAAAGACTGAACTTGTCTACTAATTTGAGTCTCTGTAATGGGCCCTCCATCAAAACATTGGAAACTCATATTGCATGAGTAACATCATTCCTCCAAGAATTTTCGAGACATGTATATTGCTTATATTATGGCAATGCTATCTGGGAAGAGGGGAATGAATTCAACATACACTTACTTTGTAGCAGGAACAGGCTCCAGGAGGAACCAGAGAAGAAGTTAGCTTTGGTTTGAGTTTTTGTCCTTTGAGACGGTTATATAGAAACTTTCTATGTGGATGAGGCTGGTCTTGAACTCCTGATCTTCCTGCCTCTACCTCCCAATCTCTCAAGTCCTATGACTACAGGCAAGATGTGGTAAGTGGCTGGATTGGCTGAAGGGTGCATGAACGACCTGGAAGCTGGGCCTTCACTTCTAAGAAAGCCTCCATGATGGGGACACTCTGGGGACAGTGCCATGCACTTGCACGTACCCAGCCAGCAGCAGGCCACTGAAGAAAACTGTTACAGTCCCACAACCACTGAAGAGGAAGTAAGGCCAGTTTCACTTCTCTAGACTGGAGGAAAGGTATTCATCTTCCCCTTTCCCCTCCTGGCCTTGCTTGGTTCAACTGTTGCTGCCAGGATTAACATTTCCCCAAACTTTCCATCTGCATGCACTTGGGGTGTCTCAGTTCTACTTGCTTTCTCTCCTATGTGGACTCTAAAATAAAAGGAACAAAGGGGGAAAAAAACTACATTTATTATTTCCCTATTTAAACAGCAAAAGTAAATAGAAGTGTATTTTATAAAAAGGCAAACTACACAGACAAGGAAGAGAACACAATAGTGAGAACGTTGTCCCTCATGCTCTTGCTTGGAACCAACCTCCAGAGTGAACTCAGAAAAGGGACAGAGATTCCGAGCCCACAGTCACTCCACATTAAACAACAGTGAGGCGTGCTCTCGGCACCGTTTCCTCGGTAAGCACAGGAAACGCACTGGCAGCGCTCGGCTTCCGTATCTGGATCTGCAGCGTGAGGGTTAGAGCCCTGCAATCTTCATCCCGTCACTCAAAGTGGGGACATGTATGTCCTCAGGAAGAAGAGTGAGACAAAGTTCCAGAAGAAAACTGGCTTTATCTCCCCCATTCGCACACATGTCATAGGAGGTGGAGGTGCTCAGACTCCGGGGTCCCTAACACAACCTTCAGACAGTGAGTGTCCCCTCTTTTCTCCCTGCAGAAAGAAGACAAGCCAGCCCTCTATGTGTTTAATGCTGTGACCCAGGAGATGATGCCAATAATGGAGAATGTGTCTATTCTGGGTAAAAAGGTGTCTGACCTGAGAATGCTGGTAACTCTGAGATGTGGCTTTCCCGTGAGTGTCTACTGTCTCCGGACACCAACGGGACTGGAGATATATGACTGCAACACCCTCAAGGACTACCAGATTGATACTGGTACTACCCACCACATTTCATGTCAGCTGCCACTTAGCACCAGCACTCTCTGATAGCAGATTTTGTAGCTTTTCAAGAGAAAAGGGAACCTAGCTTCTTATATGCTGACTGTATTTTATTTACCCTAAAATAGTTAATACCTTACATGGTTTAACTATCAGAATAGAAAGATGTATAGGGATAACTCTCCTTGGCCTCCTGGCCTCTAAACTCTCAGTTCCCTCCCTACAGGAAACCATGATTGTTATCAAGATTTCAAATCACAAATTAAGTCACCACAAATGGAGCTGTTGCAAATTGAAACCTCAGTAGACACACCGAGGTTATAAATGATCAACTCTTTGCTCTTTCATCCGAGTCTGCAGAGTAAGAAATTAAGATCTCATAGCTCTGCTTATTCCTATATTTCATTTAAAAATGTTTATTTGTATGTGTGCATATGTATATGTGAATATATGTATGTGTACATATATGTACAAGTACCTTTGGAGGCCAGAAGAGAGAGTCAGATCCCCCAGCGTTGGAGTTACAGATGGTTATGAGCCACTTAATATAAATGCTGGGAACTGAACTCCAGGTGCTCTGCAAGAGCAGCCCTCATGTCCTTAACTGCTGAGCCATCTCTCCAGCTCTGCTCTGCTTCTTCTTCTTCTTCTTCTTCTTCTTCTTCTTCTTCTTCTTCTTCTTCTTCTTCTTCTTCTTCTTCTTCTTCTTCTTCTTCTCCTTCTCCTTCTCCTTCTCCTTCTCCTTCTCCTTCTCCTTCTTCCTCTTCCTCTTCCTCCTCCTTCTTTTTTTTCATTCCCACCACCCCTTTAATATGTCTCATCTTGAGTGCACACCATAGCTCTGCTAATTCTTAATAAAGCAGCATTTTGCTAATATCCTAATTTAGCATTTGCTAATATCAGGGCAGAAGGATATCATCTTTGTCTTTTAAAGTGTATTTCAAGCACATATAGGAGTTCAGGTTCATTACAATACAACGTTCTGAAACCCACTTTGTATAATCTCATTTTTAACTGTTGCCAGTTTTATTAAAACACCCTTCTTAACAGCAGTGCTGTGCAGGATGAGGAGCTACCTCAGCTGACTGGAATTACCCAACAGAAAGGTTACAACCAATTCTATAATACCATAACTTCAATACCATATATTCAGGTCATATCTTCTTGGCCAAACACCAACAAGAAAAAGTACTGGATTTGTCTTACTAGAAAGTGACTAAAAACCTTGGATTATTATTGAAGGTGAATGAGTCCTTGCTGAAGATCAGTCCATCTCAGAGTGAGAGTATGCTATAACATTTACTGTAAGGGACTGTCAGTTATCCTAACACACCCACCGGGCTCTGCAGGCATGCTTGAGCTAAATAGTTTTTCTTTCTGTCACTGCTAAATCTACACTTACTGATATTTCTCCAGGCTCTTATTTTGTGTAGCAATCTACTTTTGTGTTGTCTGGAGCTGAGGATCTAAAAATTTAGTTATTGTCTCTGTTTTTGATCAGAGAAAGCAAAGTTGTGGGATCTGTCCCCATAGTGCTACTCTAGTTCTGAGGACTTGCTTGAGGCTCACACAGCCTGGAACGTAGGGCTCACACTGGCATTTGTACTCAAGCAACTGATAATCTCATTCTTTAAAGATCAAAAGAGAAAACAAAACTAGAATGGTTTCTGGAGGGTGTTCTTTCACTCCCATACTTCTTGGGTTGCAATATTTTAAAGCTGGAAAGAATTTAAAAATTACTTGGTCCAAATCCACCTTTCTCAGATTAAAAAAAAAAAAGTCAAAGTTTCTGAATGATTCACTCAAGGTATGTTGAAGCAAAGAATCCCTTAAAATAAGCATTTGAAAGGATGAGATGGTGTTGAGAGAGAGGATTTCAGACACAAAGTCCAGAGCCCAGGAACCATTCAGGTAGATCTCGTGGCTACCTGGAGAACACAGGACATTGGAAGAAAGGCTCAAATGAAGGGTAGGAGATGGGGTAAGACTTTGGCCTGCTTCTCACCATCCCTAAGGCATAACCAGCATTCCCTAGGTAGCCAACCCCTTTGCTTTAACTAGAGGAATCCTGGCCAGCATTCTCAGCCTTGCTGCTATTTAAAGATGAACTCTGAATCATTCTCCAAAAGGAGTGGAAAATAAAGATTTGGAAATGTAATCAAGTCCAGGTTGAAAAACCAAAGATTTAAGTTTCTCAATGAGTCAGCATATATACCTGCTCATACAGAAATGTACAAAGCTGCCTCTGTACACTAGGCATTTAACAGTAAAATGAAGGATGTGAGCCATGGACATATCCTCAGTTATAATCCAACAGAACAGGTCGGTGTAGGCCGATAAGATCACAAGGTGTCATTCAGGAGAATGTGGGCTAGAGCACATGGGATGCTATGGGTGGTCTGAGAGGAAGAACTGAAGGCATTCTGGCCTTCCAGGCTAGGAAAAAAAAATTCAAGCAACAGGCTTGTGAACACACTAATCCCAAGGAGGGGCTGAGAAGAAGAGACTGTAAACTGAAAGAGTTTCCCTGAACAACACAGGGAAGTACAGTACAATGAACCAACCATGGTTGTAAATACCTATGATCCTAGCACTCAAGAGGCACAGACAGGAGGATCACTACAAATTTGAGGTCCCCCTGGTCTGTGTGGCAAGTTCCAAGTTGGCTAGAGCTACATAGGGAATGAGTGACTGCCCCATCTCTAAATGAAAAAAAAAAAATTAAATTTAAGGAGACGGCTCAGTTGACAAAATGCTTGCCATGCTCACAGGAGGACCCAGGTTTCATCTCTACTACCCACACAGAAGCCAGGTACAATGGCACATGCCCACAGCCCCAGCTTTAGTGGGCACAGACAGAGGGCTCTGTGGTGCTTGCTGGCCAGGTCGTCTGGTTGAATTGCTGAGGTTTAGATCAAGGAAGAGACCCTGTCTCTAAAAATAAGGTAGAAAGTAGATTAAGAAAGGCCTTGGGGGGAGGGGAGGGATGGAAGATGGCTCAATAGTTAAGAGCACCTGGGTTCAAATCCCAGCTCTGCATGGCTGCTCACAACTGTTTATAACTCCAAGATCTGACACCCTCACACAGACATACATGTAGGTGTAGGCAGATTTTTCTGTCCTGCCTGCCAGCTCCCAAATAACTATGTGGAGACTTCTTATTAATTATGAAAGATCAGTCAATAGCTTAGGCTTGTTTCTAACTAGCTCTTATAACCCATTTCTATTAATTTACGTTCTGTCATATGGCTTTATTACCTTTACTCTGCCCATGTTGCTTTCCTGTGTCCTCCATGTCTGGCTGGCAATTCCTTGAGACTCTGCCCTTCTTCCCAGCATTCTCTCTGTCTTGAAAATCCTGCCTAGCTCTTGGCCATTTAGCTTTTTTATTAAACCAATCATAGTGAATTATCTCCACACCGTGTAAAGGAATAGACAACATGCAGGCAAAACACCAATGCACATACAATTTTAAAAATGTAAATAACATATATAATGAATAGATAAAGAAAAATGAAAGGCCCTCAACAATGACTTCTAGCCTCTATACACACACACCTGCCCATTCACACTGTTAAATGAATTTTGGCTTGAGATTAGGGCAGAATTTCCAATGATTCTGAAATGGCACTGAACATCCTTCAGCGTTTATGCTGTATAGTTATAGGAAGCAACACTCTCAGCAGTGACAACTATAAAGTTAAAATATCAGTTAACTCTGAAAAATATTGAACATGATCTACATCTGTATCAAATCTTCAGCCAGTATTTAATTCTTTAAAAAAAATATTTATCGGCGGGGTGGTCGTGGTGCACACCTTTAATCCCAGAACTCAGGAGGCAGAGGCAGGTGGATCTCTGAGTTTGAGGCCAGCCTGGGCTATAGAGTGAGTTCCAGGACACCCAGTGCTACACAGAGAAACCCTGTCTCAAAAACCAAACAAACAAACAAACAAAAACCACAACTTTTTAAAATCTGTGTGTATGTGTGTGTGTCCACAGAGGCCAGAAGAGGGTACCAAGTTCCTTGAAGCTGGAGTTATAGGCAATTCTGAGCCACCATATGGGTGCTGGGAACCAAACTCGGGTTCTATGCGAGAGCCAAAAGTGTTCTTAACTGCTGAGCCATCTCTCTAGCACCAAGATTTAATACTTTCTGCCAAAGTAAACAAGTATATCCATCTCACTAGTGTGCAAATTTTCTTTGGTCTTTGATAAATGATAAAATTATACATATACCAAAGAATTGCTTTCAACTAGAATATTTCAAACTTTCATTTTTATTTTAAACTCTGTGTGTGTTTGTGTGTCTGTGTGTGCCTGTTTGAATGTGTGTGTGTGTGTGTGTGTGTGTGTGTGTGTGTGTGTGTGTGAGTGGGTGGTATGTGCACATACGTGCAGGTGCACAAGGAAGCCAGGAGTATCAGAACCCCTGGATCTGGAATTACAAATGGCTCTGAGCCACTTCACATTGGTGCTAGGACGCAAACCCAGATCCTCTGCAAGGGCAGTACACACCTGTTACCATGAAGTCATCTTTCCAGCCCTGGAAATTTTTTAAACATTTATTTTGTGCCACAACATACATGGAGGTCAGAGGACAACTTGCAGGAGTCAGTTCTTTCCTTCCACCATGTGGGTCCTGGGATCAAACTCAGGTAGGCAGGCTTGGCATCAAGCACCTTCACTGACTGAGCCATCCTGTTGGCTCCTAAAATAAATTCTTCGTGATTGATTATAAGTAAATGTCTGATGTGTATACTTATTTGATATACCTGTTCACCCAATACTGCATGATGTTAAAGGGCTTTTCCCAGCCAATAAAGGCTTAAAGGAAAAATAGCATACATCCCTGCCTCCTCCTCATCTGAGGTTTCATCACTATGCTCTTGCTATGTTTGGAGAAAGCTATCATTAAAGCTTAATGTATTGCTGAACCACAGTGACAGATTGGACCATAAACTGTCTCTCTATCCACAGACACAACACTTTGTTTGGATGTCTGGGATGAATGGAAGGAATTTCTCGTGGGATGTCTTCTTGGGCAAACACCTAAAGTCCAACGATACTTATCAAAAAAAGGACCAGTACTCGAGTATGAAAACTAAAGCAGACATTAGATGGATTTAAGTCACTTTGTTTTAAGCCTCCATTCAACCTTGAACCTTGCATTCAGTTATGACTATAATTGGCTTTTTAACTGAAATGCCAGGGTTTAACAACTGACATTGTCCCCAAACCACAAGCTGTTGTTCAGTTTCAAATGTTAGGTTGTATCAGAGCTTAGAAACGGCGAGTCCGACTTCTCCTTTAGAGTCCTTTTTGACAAACTGCCTTAACCACCTGTCATCACCTCCACCCAGCCCTTCACACACAGTGACCGACTCTCGGGACGGCCCACACAGGGCACCTCGCTGCACTCCGCGTGAATGAATGAGTTTGCTGAGATCGGAATAAAAAGCTGTCCTCTCGCTGCAACAACAGTTCCCTCTTTTGCTTTACGTGAAGGGTAATGTGTCTGGGACTGTTGAACGTGGCTGGCTTGGAGAAGCGGTGGTTATTTTACTGTGTTACTACAGTGGGCAACTTCCCAAAGTTGAAATAACTGGTAGTGGTAGGGTGTTTCAGAACAGTGCCCTCTTTTGGTTGATTTGAACACATTTTACCAAATGCAGACACTACCAGGAGCTCCAAGGGCTCCTTAAAATGAAAGACAGGAGACAGAGTTCTTACAAGCATGAAATAGTCAAAATTTCCCAACAGTTTCTATTTAGGGATAGTTGTAATCCTGTTTCATATTCTGGATCAGAACAAACATCTGTGTTACTTCTCTCTCTCTCTCTCTCTCTCTCTCTCTCTCTCTCTCTCTCTCTTTGGTTTATTCGAGACAAGGTTTCTCTGTGTAGCTTTGCACTTTTCCTGGATCTTGCTCTGTAGACCAGGCTGGCCTTGAACTCACAAAGATCCGCCGGCCTCTGCCTCCCAAGTGCTGGAATAAAAGGCATGCACCACCACCACCCGGCTCTGTGTTACTTTTAATACTATGTAGCAACTGTACTGCCTGAGATCAAGCACTGTATAATGTATATCTCATTCACACGTACAATAATTTCATAGTGGACACTCCTCACTTTGTTTGACAGGTGAGGAAACTAATATTTCAAAGATGTACATGATCAGACTTAAGTGCTCTCTTTATTCCTCTCCACCTAATTGTTGGTTTTATGTGGCAGCGCAATGTTATTCATTAAGCTGTGTTGTTACTGTGTGTGAAAAGCCACGAGGCACGACAAAACCCACTATCAGAGCTTATTAGGGAAGGAAGAACAGAAGAGAATGTGCTTAGGCCTATGGAAGATATGTGCAGGGAGCGAGTCGGGGGGAGTCTGTGACCCACTTTTTATGGATTCCCCTGCACATTTGAATATGGGTTTATGGAGCTACACCAAGCATGCAATTGAGCGATCACGCAGTGCACGGATTATGTAGGATGTAAGGCCCCTTGCTTGGCTACTGAACAGGGCATGTGCAGTCATGTAGCTGGGGGAGTGGCCAGGAATTCTAACACTAATCAGCACATAGTGAGTACTTACTATGTACTGTACAAGATCCTAAGAATTCAGTACGAAAAAAGAGGGCTACCGTACTCTGTAAACTTACAGTATGGGTGGGGGTGGGGGGAGCAAGTGACCAATTCCTGGAGAAGCAGAAATGCAAAATATTTGGGACTGTGAACTCCAAGTCCCATTTGCCTTGGTTTGAAGCCCGACTCCTTCACTATTTAGCTAGGGACACTTGGACATCTGTCTCAGAGCACTTTTTAGAGATCAAAGAGTCAATAATCATAAAGATGTTTGGCACATAGAAAGCAGGATGTAAAGCCAAACTTTGCTACTACTACTATTCAGTATGAAAGGGGTTGTGACAGGGCACAGGGCAGACAGAACAACATCACACACCATGGGAACACTGAGAAGAGTTCACGAAGAGAGATAAATATGAGTTGAGAACTAAGGATTTGTGTTCAGGTAGGTGGTAAGGAGAAGGAAAAAAAATAATGTGTTGAAGTAGATATTCCAGAACTATATGCAAAGACCCTAGGACAAGACAGTAGCTTCAAGGAACTGGATGACCCATGAGGAATGAGGCAGTTACTAGACAGAGGCCTCTTCATGGAGAAATATGAGTGAATTTTGACTTATCTTTCAAGTTTGGGGAAGATATTGGGAGTGGTGGGGTAGTAAGGTCCAAGATGTGATCTACTTTAAAAACTATAGCTCATGCTGGGTGTGGTAGCACATGCCTACAATGCCAGTACTCAAGAAGGTAGAGGTAGAATCAGGAGTTCGAGGCCAGATTTGGCTACATAGTGAGTCCAAGACCAGTGTGGTCTATAAGAGATCCTGTCTCAAAAAACCAAAAACTGACTGTGGAGTGTATGTGTGTGTGTGTGTGTGTGTGTGTGTGTGTGTGTGTGTGTGTGTGTGTGTGTCTGTGTGGTACACTCTGTGGTGCATGTGCACATGTGTGTGAGCTCATGCATGAAAGCCAGAGGAGGATGTCAGGTCACCGCAATATCACTCTTTACCATGTTCTTTTGAGACAGGGTCTCTCTCTGAAGCAGGCCAGTGGGCAGCCAGTCCTAGCAATTGTGTTTCTGCCCTCATAGCACTGGGTTACAGGTTCACCTGGCAGAACTTTTATCCACTGCACCAATATCCTAGCCCCTCAAAAATATGTTCACAGTTAAATGAGCATCATAAGGAATATTTTTGTCTGTTTGCTGACTTACTAACCCTTTCTGCCAAACTTGTTCCACTCATGCAGGTACCAGAAGAGGGTAGCCCTGTACATCGCTGCTTTTCATGGACACACTGAACTCACTGAATGGGCTCTGAAGCAGGGCGTGCAGCCCCACGAGGTGGTTGGTGTTCACCCTTATCCAGCCTGGTGCCACGAAGCCCTTCACACAGATGTCTGTCATTGCCCTATTCACACAGCTGCAGAAGCTGGCCAACTGTTAATTCTGAAGGCCTTTGTCATCTGCAGCGTCCTGTGCCTGGAATGTAAAAACACAGCAGGACAGACTCCCCTAGCCATTGCAGCAAAACGCCAGCATAAAGACTGTATGTTATACTTACTGGGTAAAATGCGGTCCACAGTTTCTTTTCTAAAACTTTCAGTCCCAGTGAGGATTTATATTAAAATAAAGCAGTGGCTCCTCAGAGCTCAGAGTCGTAGGTGCCATCGAAGCCAACTTGGCAGAGGAAGGGTCTCTGGGGCAAAGGTTGGAGACACTGTGGTGGTGGATGGTTTCACTAAGCCAAAAATAACATCCAAGAACTGCCACAAGGCTGGGGACAAGTGGCAAAGCACTCGGAGCAAACTGGCACCTTGCAAGCAACAGTCAGGCAGGAAACCTGTCGATTCTTTAGTACTTTCGCAAAGGGACACCAGCAAACAAATCGCATTCCCACCCTCAGTAACTACAAACAAGTGCTCAGAACTACAAAGTCATCAACGAGAAAGCCAGAAAAATAAAACTGCTCCGGCGGCGGGGAGGAAAGAAAAGCACATAAAAAATGCCTATCTCCCGCAGGTCCTGCTCCCTCCAGTTTCAAGAGTGGAGTATTCACACCCACTGTTGCACCTGCACTCCACCGGGTGCTGAATAAGGCCCTTCTCCACACCTTTCTCAGAGCACAGTGGGAGGACTCCAGGAGAGAATGCCATCTACTGCTGAGCTGTGGCAAGGCAATGTTTTCTCTTTAAACATGCAAGGGCGTGTTGAACAAGGCAGGTCTAGGACAAAGCAATGTTCATGAAGGCCTACTATGGCATACTGAGTACCACAAGTCGTTTTAACACTTCATTGCTTAATTAGCATCAAGGACTTTGTCTCACCGAGCCCCACTGGCACTTGCCTCTAATCCCAGCATTTTGGAGGCCGAGGTATTTCAAGCCTGGCATTCATAGTAAGGCCATCAAAATCGTAACAATAAAAGGCTCTCGTCTCAGCCTTACAGCTAAGGAAAAACTCAGCTGGTGCTATTGCCCAGTCTATGTGTCACTCACTCCTCAAGCACCCAGGAAGGGACACAGGACAAAGAAATTTAAAATATGGGAGCGTGTCATCAAAACTGGCCCCAAAGACTGAGCAGCCATGAAAGTAGAAGGGGAGAAAAGAACAAATTAAAAAACAAATTGAATCATAAAGGCTTAAGGAGGCTACCTGTCCTAGGTCGGACGGTAGGATTGGCATTGCTATTTAAGGTGATGGGCTATCATGGTTAGAGGACACAGAAGTGTATCTATCACGTGGGCTTTCAGAACATTCACATCCATCACTGAAAACAAAACTTTCCCATGAAGTCATTTATGTTCTACTTTACATGTAAGGCATAGCTGGGTACCTAGAAGTATAGATGTGTGAGTGGTTTTCTAAAGAAATGTAAAACAAGGCTACATCGTTTAGCTTTCCTTTCTGTACAGGTTTTGTTTTGTTTTGTTTTTTTCCCCCCTAACTTGCTGCCACCTAGTGGTGAGAGTAATTTAGGCTGTAAAATTCAAAATTTAAGATCCAACTTCAAAAGTCAATTTTTAAAAATTTAAGAATTAAAACAAAATTCAGTAGATTTCAGTGTGGTTGCTCATGCCTATGATCTGAGCCTCTTTTAAACTGAGTCCAGTGAAGACTATTCACTTTCTATATTTTTCTTGCATTTTCTAAACTAAGTTCTAATATAGAGACACTAGTTCAGTGGAAAGACATTATGTTGATCAATCTAGTGAACATCAAGGCAGATTCTGTTTCCACTTGTGTAAAAAATGTTTTGAAAAAATAACAGTAAATCCTTCCAGAGACAACCATTCTTCTTACTCAAGATTTATCTTGTTCTTTCCTTTCTCCACCTGGCTGTTTTGCTCTACATATCACCTACAAAACTAATTTATATTTTGTGTGTATTGATTTTCCTTACTCCTTCATATTCCAACTCTTCATAATATCCCATATCCTAATGTATTTACCCACTTTTATTGGTAGAAATCTGGGTTAACTTAGAGGACTGTTTTGAATTAAAATACATGGCTATTTTTGTGTAAGTCCTTTGGTGAGATCAGCATTTGTTTCTCTTGCTCTGTATCTAGGAATGAATGGGTAATAGGATAAGTTTGTGGTTGGCTTTCATCAATACTTCTGATCAGTTTTCTCTGTTATGCTGAGGGTTTTTTTGCAGCTGTACGTCATAAAGATTGGAACTGTCAAATAGTCAATTCAAGGTAGAGAAGGAAATTTTAAATTTCTTTCTTCAGAAACAAGAAATCCAAAGTCTTGTATTGTCTGTCTTTTTGTGAAAATTCTGTTTGTCGGGGGGGGGGGGGGAATGCACAGGAAAATACCAGTTTTTTTTTTTCATCTGATGACAGACTGTTGCATAAAGACATGGTATCATATGACTGGGTTATATCAAATAGTTGATAATTATGAATTAAATGAATGAAATAATGTTTAAGTTATTTTGTTCTTAATGTGCATTTAACTTTAAGACTGAATGATGAAAACATTGAGAATTCAGGGTGTAAACACTGAACTTGGTTTAGCTCTTCTTTAGATTTCTGTGTTACTTACCTTGGAGTAGGCTTGGGGCTTCTTGGTAGCCATGACAGAACCACAGTTGGTAACCTTGAGCACTGTGGGGGGCAAAAAGAACCAACCATCACAGATAATCTTTCACAGTGGATTCTTTTTTTTTTTTTAAGATTTATTTATTTATTATGTATACAGAAGAGGGCACCAGATCTCACAGATGGTTGTGAGCCATCATGTGGGTGCTGGGAATTGAACTCAGAACTTCTGGAAGAACAGTCGGTGCTCTTAACCTCTAAGCCATCTCTCCAGCCCTAAGGCATGTTATTGCACACTCAAGCAGACTCACCACCCCCCCCCCCCCCCCCCGCCTCCCACAGACACAGTGGGAGAGAGAGAAAGAGAGAGGAATATGGACACCGAGACAGAGAAAGAGAGACAGACAGAGAAATCATACAAACTCAGAGAAAGTGATAGAGAGGGATATATACACATACAGAGAAACATATACAACAAAGAGAGACAAATACACGGAGACACATGGATATTTACACACAAAAAGACAAAGTTAGGCATAGATATATATGCAAAGAATAAGAACAGAGACAGAAATAGACACATACACATAAAGGTTTGAATAGAGAGAGAGAAAAAAGAACATACCCAAACACATACATCTATACCTCCACACACACAGAAGTGGAAAAAGAAGGAATGGGAGAGGAGAATGAATTATATATGAAATATGAAGCACAATATAATCAAAAAAAAAAAGAAAAAAGAACCTCATTCCCTCTAAGACTGGCAATCTTTAAATCTGGTGTGTACATATGACCAAATATTCTCAATTATTTTTTTACAATAGAAAATGTAAATTTTCTAGGGTGACTAAAAGTATACCTCAAGTATACTAAAAGTATAACTCAAGTTTCATTTCACATGAACCTTAGACAAATATTCAAGAAAAAATATCCTTCTAAAATATGTCATTATATCTTAGATTCTTCAGTTCCAAAAAGAGATTGATTTGTAAATATTATTTGTAAATTTATCATGATCAAGTGTCTCCTGTATATATTTATATGCACATTTGCACATATGTGGATCTCAAAAACAAAACTCAAATTTAAGTCAAAGTAGCTTGAAAGTAACTTACAGGCATTCCTATCAGAGGTACTAACTGATAGATAATATCATTCACCATCTCCAGGTCTGTTGTTGTTACATATAAAGGATATAAAAAGTGCAGAGAAAATGCTATAAAATAACTTGAAAGCACATAATTACAGAATTAGTTATTGTCTAATCTTCACTTACAATCTATGGGCTGTAATGACAACTCTAATGTAGAATAAATATCTTGTTTTCTTCCCTTTATATACCATAACCCTAGAAGACTGTCAGTCCAGCATATTTATCTTCAATTTAAGTACTTTGGTACTGGGTACCCAAACACAGCAGGTCACTGGTTGTGCGTGATAAAGGGAGACTCCATGGAGCCATGGGTGCTGGAGCTCAGCATTCTGAATTTTCTTTCCTTATGGGGAGTTAAACAGAGAGGTGAAGCCTTTCCTTCCACCCCAGGTCTAGGAAAATCAGGATAAGAACTGGCTGCATTTTTTCTGTTTTGTTTTTGTGGAAATACCAATATGGATGAGCACTTTCTCCATACCAGGCTTTGTAAATAGATGATACTCAGTGTAGAAATCTGTTGAGTTGATAGATCTAGGAATCCAAAAATGAAGATTTTAGAAATGAAACCCCATCTCTTAATACTCAAAAACAAACATGCTTGTAGACAAAATTCTAAACAGTCTTAGTAAATAAGAAACACAGAACCAAATAAAGAGGTAAATAGCCAAAAAGATCAGTGAGTCACAACTACCTTATCTTACCACCTTGCCATTGCTTCCACAGAGGATAGAGTTTCTTCCTGCCTGACTTATGTTTCTATTGCCTTTCTGTTCTGCCTTCTCACTAACTCTAAACCCAACCACCTGACTTCCTTGTCACTACCTATCTATACAGACTTCCAAGTCTCTATGGTTGGTACTGGGATTAAAGGCATGTGCCACCATGCTTGGCTGTGTCCTTGACTACACAGAGACTCTGCCTGCCTCATGATCAGATTAAGGGCGTGGGCCACCACCTGCCTGACTGCTGTTCCTGGCTCGCTATGACCTCTGATCTCCAGGCAAACTTTATTAACATACAAATAAAATCCCATTTCAGCACAAATAAAATATCACCATACAAGCTACTCATACTATTGCCTCTTTACTACCTTTCACATTTAGAATCTGCTCCAGAGATCTAGGAAGACAGTATGTAGGAAATAGCATGAAACCAGTTGATAGGAATCTGAGTTGGTGCCACTGAAATATCAGAAATCTAATATGTCACCATAGAATATGACAATGAGTAGATAGGTATAGTTTTATTCACATGGTTTCTATAATATCAGATGTACCTGCAATAAGGGCTGTAAGACTCTAGGAAACTGTCCTTTAAAGGAAAGAAACAGCATGCGTGCCCTTTCTCTGTCCTTAACAACATCATTGAAGCAAGGTAAAAGGAAACCACTCCATAAGCCACCTCTTTTGAGACAATTTTATTTATTATCCTTTAACTGCTAGGCATAACTGACTAACTTGAAAATAAGTGTACACACAGTGCTGAAGATTGATGCCAGACCCTACCATAACATGCCAGGTTAATTGAATTTTATGAACAAGGACATCTTACACTACTGATTTCACATCTTACTTACCATAGGCTAAGAATTATGGAAAAGCATGTGAAAAATCTGAAAACAAGGCTCTGATCTTATGGTACTAATATAACTAGGAAGGAGCCAATGTGTTTTTGCTCAGAATGTGGAGTTAATCATCTCTGGCCAGAAGGATAGAACAGGGCTCACAAAGCATCCATGATGGAAGGAACTGGACAACCAACTCCTGCAAGATTTCTTCTTAACTCAACATAGGTACTTTAACACACATGCACACACTAGAACACCACACACACACACACACACACACACACAGTGTGTGTGTGTGTGTGTGTGTGTGTGTGTGTGTATATATATATATATATATATATATATAGAGAGAGAGAGAGAGAGAGAGAGAGAGAGAGAGAAAGGGTAATACCTTTAACAATAAGAAAAGC